ACAAAAGATAGAGGTAAGATGCCTTGTTTCAAGGGCTGTGGTGAGGAAAGATAAGGGTAATACAGGTAAAACACTGAGCATCTTGTCTCTCCCATTGCAAACACAGCATTCGCCTGATTTCTTGGTGGACTGAGGTCTCCACTATGGTGACTGGGGACGGCAAGCCAAGTGCCAATCCTCAGCCACCTCACACTGAAAACAAGTTCTCAGGAAGAAAGACCTAGGGGTTTTTATTTAAAGAATTCCTACTTTCCAGCTTTACATGTTCCCAAAGTTACTGACACTTCTCATTCCTGAGTTTAAACATCAGTGAAATGAGGATACCTCTTTGTTTTAAAACATATGGGTGGCAGAGTGACATGAATTCAGAAATAATTGTGTTTAGCCATGGTGTTAAACAGAAACTTGTTATACAGAATTTAGGAATGGTGTAAAAATGCACTGGAATCGCAAGACACATTTGCTAGGCAGCCTTCACGGTTGTGTCTAATGTTAGGATGCTTAGGATGTTCTTAATAAAAAGGAACATTGTCAACGTTTATAATTTATATCTACTCACTCTTTCTCTCTGCTTTTCCCATTGTCAAACACCCCACTATGTTACTCCAGTTTCTTTCCATTTGTCAATTCTTTTTAACAGTTCATTATAATTTCTTTTCCTCTTTTCATTTGTAATATTAATGGTTATCTTTTGATCAAATACTATGTTCTTTGATCTCTCCCTGAGAAGGTCAACCAACAAATGTCTTGGTTCAGTTAAGCAATGCTTGTTTTCCACTCCTTGGTCAGCTTCTGGCCTCGTAAAATCTATAGCTTCAGGGGTCAGGTGTGGTGGTTCACACCTGTAGTTCCAGCACTTTTGGGAGTCGAAGGCAGGTGGATCTCTAGAGGTCAGGAGTCTGAGACCATCCTGGCCAATATGGGAAACCCCATCTCTACTGAAATACATGGATTAACTGGGTGTGGTGACAGGTGCCTGTAATCCCAGTTGCTCAGGAGGCTGAGGCTGGAGAGTCGCTTGAGCCCTATAGGCAGAGGTTGCAGTGAGCTGAGATCATGCTACTGCACTCCAGCCTGGGCGACAGAGTGAGATTACGCCTCCAAAACAAAACTGTAGCTTCACTTCCAAATATGAGTGACTCTGTAGGTCTAAGAACCTTGGTCCTTGCATTGCCACTCTGTTTGTATAATCTCTACTATTTAGTTTGCTTAACTTGATGCACTTTTTAATTAAAATGAATTTATGTAAAGGTACACCACTAAGCAATAATAGTGAACTGGTAGCTTTGATATGTTTCACTATGAAACTTAAATTCCTATCTTTCTAGACAAAAGTGTGTGTGTGTGTTGTGTGTTCTGATCTCAGGTAGAAGGAACTCAGATAAAGACCATTCCTATCCTCCTTTCTCAGACAACTCCCACGTCCTCTCTGATGAGTAGCCAACCACACTGTGTCCGAACCTCTCCACTGTGGCTAGAGGCAGTGGTTTTCCTGCAGGGCTCAGATCCTGAAGAGGATGAAGGCTTTTCTTTGCCCTCTGCCCAAACAAGCTGTCCTGTTTTTTTCCCTTCGTGTCTGGCTCACAGCATTTCATAACAATTCCCTTTGGCAATTTCAGGACATCTGTGATCATCTGTCCCTCTCTGCTCAATCCTTTCTCCTCTGAAAACTTTCAGAAGGAGGTCATTTGAGAGAGGAGGTTGTGGCTTGCCAGTTACCGGGATCATGCAGGTCTTTCAATGCCTATGTGCTTAGGCAGAACTAAAAAATGCCCGAGGGCTCCAACCTCAGGTGGTAGGGATGGAAAGACCGTAGAGAACAAAAGACAGGGGAGGGGAGAGAGCAGGGTACTTAGAAAAGCCCCGTAGTTCTGGGATGCAAGCTGTTGAGTTGTTCATCTGCTCTGATACACCGCCAGGATGGTGAACATTTTGAGCAGGAAGAATCTGACAGTATCCTCCTTTGTCTTCCTTAGCAGTAACCAAAGCTAGAAACTTACTACCCAATAAAATTAAAAAAGAAGAGGTTTATGGCCAGGTGTCCTGGCTCACGTCTGTAATCCCAGCACTTTGGAAGGCCGAGGCAGATGGATCACTTGAGGTCAGGAGTTGGAGACCATGCTGGCCAACATGGTGAAATCCCGTCTCTACTAAAAATACAAAAATCAGCCAGGGGTGGTGGCAGGTGCCTGTAATCCCAGCTACTCAGGAGGCTGAGGCAGGAGAACTGCTTCCAGGGGACAGAGGTTGCAGAGAGCTGAGATCACAGCACCGCACTAAAGCCTGGGCGACACAGTGAGACTCCATCTCAAATAATAACAAAGTTTAAATCTATTAGAGGTGTCTGATGAGTCTAACATATATCCCACGGCCTCTCAGAATTGCCCTAAACCTATTTATTGTGTACTGTTTTTAACGAGATTGAAGGAGTAAGCCAAAATCTTTAAGTAGAATCTCATACGACTTTCTAAGAATCTGTTTAACCATCATCTCTTTTAAAAACCGAAGCTTGGGGATATTTCCACTCATCAGAACATGCTGGTATCTCAAGGGAGGTAGGGTAGTGGCTTAAAAAAGCACATTCAAGATTATGACATACTTCTAGCTAGGATGAATCTTGTTCTGTATATTCTGCAATGCAGAACACATATTTCTTTTCCTTAAATTTATGGTCATCAACGACCTCTTGTTCTGCTGCTGAGCTGGGCAGTGGCGCAGGCTAGTTTCTTACTGTCCAATATACACACAGACACACAGCAGCAATATGTTAAATTTGTCATCGGACAAAGCAAAATATTCAGGAAGGTCTACAAGATTCTAGCGACTTTTTTAGAGACAGGACAGAAACATGTGCTGGGTAAACAAATCTCTAAATTAATATCACAGGAACTTTTTCTGCCACCTGATTACATATGTGATTCTTCCTCTCTGAAAAATCTTATTGTCATTATAACATAAAGAGTAGGGAAAATGATAATTTTTGGCTGGGGATCATGGCCTGAAAAGTCAGAGAAGGGGCAGTTTTACAAATGAAGCTATCACACAACTTAGGACTGGAAGAAACCCTGTCCTGTGAAGCTCACTTAGATGCTTCCCAGGCTGCACCACTGTATCCAGTGGGCTTGGCTCAAACATGAATGTGTGACAGACAAAATCTCCTAAAGGAACTAGAAAAGCACAAAGGGACACTTCTGTGGCTTTCTTCTCTAAACAAATTTTTTTTCCTCTCTAGTCAAGTGGTTGGCATATTTCCTCCTCCTTTGTGTGTTTTATCTATTTGCATTGCTCTGTGGATTTTCTGATGCAGCAGTATGCCCCAATCGATACAAACACACACTCTCACTCACTTAAATGAGTCCCTTGTTTTTCCTTATTTGTGGAAGCTCCACAGATCTTGCCTTCAGGCAGCCTCTCCTTCGTGCTACTCAAGAATCTGAGGCCAGCAAGACACCAGTTTGACATCTGCATAAGATACCACACATTAATGATTCAGTAAATTATTGTCAGTTTGAAGAAACTGAGGCATGAAGAGGTGGACACTGACTAAATGATTGTGAAATATTTTTAACTAAGAAAAATCTGCATTTTTTTTTTTTCTTGGGCAGGTGTTGCTGGAGATAGTTTCCATTTTGGTGGATTTTTTAAAAAAGCATTTCTCTATCCCTTGTCTATTCCCTCTCATTTCTAAAGCCCTAAATTCTGCGATGCCAACTACCATTCTGGCTCCTTCCATCTGCAATCATCTACTCATGGGCTCCATGAAGGCGAGAGCCAGGACTGGTGATTGGGTTTAGCAGGTGCTTGAGGATATATGAATGGGCTTCAAACTGCTCAGCCCCAGCCTGCCTCATAATTTAAAATCTGAAAGTCTGGAAAAGAGGACGTGAGATGGAAAAGCTTAAGTTCCACAAAAAAGAAAAAAATTGATCACTGAGTGAATTAGGACATACGGGTTTTTCACTCACTTTGTTATGGGGAAAAAATACTAACCCACAGATTATAGTAAATATGCTTGATGCAATAGAACTCAACTAAGTCTATCATTGATGGAGATAAATACTATATCTCAAAACTAATGATATGAAATTCAAAAGGAATAAAATAATCAGTGGCTTATCTTCTAGTACCTGATATCAATTTTATCAGAAATGATTTTTTTGCTGTCTAGCCTATAAAACAAATATAATCCCATTGACTGAGGTCCTTTGTAATAAAAATTGTGATTTAGGGAGTATCTCCCAACACTGCCCACTTATTCAAAATTGTGTTTACTCCAAGTCATTTTGATAGCATCAATGCTCGTATCATAATGTGGGAGAATAACTACCTCTAGTTGAACATAGATAAGTTTAATTCTTCTCATGAGAAATAGTCTACTCTTGTCTATAAATAAACTTAAAGTGTTACTTTTAAGCAATTTTAAGTCATGTAATTGGGGGAAATGGAATAAAAGGTTAAAGAAAATGGGGGCTCAATGTTCAATTTGACATACATTTTGTTAAGAGAATTTGTAGGAGATGTTTAGGGCTAAACTTGCCCATGAGAGAGAAGAGTGTTCCTAAGGCTGCTGTGATATTTTAGGGAAAACATCAAAAATATCAGCCATGAAAATATCTTTTAACCCTCTGCAGCTGGTAACTACAGCTGTTATCCTAAATATTATACCGAAAACAACATATTGAGAACTTGAGAGACAATTTCTTTGTGGGTGAAGTGGGGTCTTTAGTTGGCGTGAAAGAAATGCCACCTTTTTGGGGGGATTGCATTTATTCTGAAGTTGATCCAAGGGGTTAATTCCACCCCATTAAACAGCCAGTGATGTCTGCCATGAGCTCAGGGGCAGAAGGCTTGCTGTCCTGCAAGACAAACCACTGAATTATTTCCTGCGGACCAAGGAGAGAAACTCTCAACTACACCGAGTAGAGGAATTCACAGCAAACTTGTAAAAAGAATGACTCCAGGAGGAAACGGGGACGGCATGCAAGTGAATGAATACTTACATAAATGTCTGCACCATAAAATCCATCCTGGTAAACAACACTGCAAGGGTGCACACACAAAGAGAAACATCCATATTAGTGCATTTCCCATGCAGACACACCAACCCCTGCACTGGCGAGGTTAGTCTGGTCACAAGATCCAAAACACAGGAACCGAGGATCGTTTTCACATTGATTAAGGAGGTTGGAGACAACAGCAGTTGAGCAAACCGAGAAAATTAGGCCGGGCTTCGGTGTTGGCCCAGAATTAGGATGTGTGGTGTGGTGGTGGTGGCAGCGGCGTTCTAGGTCCCAAACTTCCCACTCTCTCAGGAGTGGGTACAGAAATGCACGACTTTGAAATGTAAAAAGGATAGATTTATTTTAAGTGGCCCAGACAGACATGAGCATCTTAACAGGTCAGAGTTGGCAGTTAAACCACATATAACCCCCTACCCCACAGAATAAAAACCCAAAACATCTATTTATAAAAATAGGATTAAAAAGGTCGAGACACAGATTGCAGCATTCTCAATACGGGCTACAGCCGAATGGCCTCAGGTGAGCTGGACAACACAAACGGTTTCAAAAATTTTCTTTTATATTCTTTCACATTGTATTATACTTGTTAGTTCCATGTGCATTATCTTATGGTAAATGGAGAATGTCTCTAATTGTATGTGCGTGAGCATGGGTATGTGTGCAAGAATGTGTTTTGTGTGCAGACATGTCTTCATGTGTACAAGGGCATTGTGTGCGTATTTGTATGTGTATGTGTGTTAATATGGACAAGTGTAGGAATGCATGTTTGCTCTTGTCTATAGTGTATACATGCATGTAAACATGTATATGTGCATGTGTATATGTGCATATGTGTATTGGGATATTTATGTATTTGTGTACTTATATGTACCAGGAGTATATACATGTGAATATCTGTTCACATAAATTATATCTAGACGAAACAAAGTCCCACACCTTGATTGAACAAGTCCAATCTGATAGCAGCTCTCTGATTGCCACCCATATAGTGACCATCCCAGAAAGAAGAGACTTCAGAGGGCTGGGGACAGGGCTTAGGGAATGATTCTCCAAAGGTTTTTGGTATACTTTGAGTAAAAAAAAAAAACAAGAAAAGAAGCTCTTAGCTATGTGGTCGTAAGAAACTGATTTATATTTCTTAAGCATGAAAATGAGTTTAACAAGAATAATATGTAGCCTTCACAGGTTTCTGTAAGCATCACAAGGCATCTTGCATATGAAACTTTCTAAACGCCTATTTTTAAAAGGATCGCAGTGATTTACAATCTTCCCCAATACCTTCCCATGACGTTTCTAGAAGACTTATGATTCTGGCAAAGGACTGATGAGCCCCACTATTGAATGAGGCTGAGGTTCTAATAGAAACACAACTGTAATACCAAAGGCTTGCAGCAGATTTCAGTAGCAGAGTGGACCCACATGTAAGCAAAGCATATTGAGCCAAGGGAAGGCATTTTACAACACACACACACAGCACTGACACACACACGCGGCTGTGACACTGGTTTGCTGGAGAACACTCTAGTGTGCTTCTCAGAGTATTCTGGAGTCAACTGACTAAACTCCAAGTACCATTGTCCTTAAAAATGTGGCAGGGATTTCACACACTAAGGAGGTTGGTAGAAATAGCTTTCAGCTGTTGTTCATATTTGATCCTGGAGGGCTACAGTTCACAAAAGCACTTGTGAAGTGGTGTAAAGCCCCAATCCAAGGTGCTGAGGTGTGCAGCGTCCTGAGCTATACTTTGAATTCTTTTTCAACATTTCCAACACAAAGGACAGAATGTCAGTTGGGGGGTGTCAGAAGGCAGAGTCACCCTCTGCCAACAGGACTTGGAACAGGTCTGATGAAAGAGAGGTGAGCCACAAATACTTAGTTTGGGTCCCAAACCACAGAGCTTATCACTTAGCCATATCAAAACAGCTCCATCCCATTCTTTCATGCTGCCATGCCCTTGCACGTGCAATGCCTTGTGCTGTCAATGCCGTTTATTCCAGTATCCTCATCCAAAAGCAGTGAGATGACCATTCAAGAGCCAAGTTAGATGGGAAGCACAGGGGCATCTGAGTCAAAATGCAGCATCCTCAATCAATAGCTCAGTACCTTTGGACACATCACATGAGATATCTGAATCTCACTTACTCATCTGTTAAAAAGGGAAAATAGGTAAGTGCCTACCTCAAGGGAGGGTTTTGTAAGATAATGCTTGCAAAGGGATGGGCGGCATCATCCTTAACACTGTAGCTCTAACAGGGTCACCATGTCTGAGACCCAGTGTCCACCTGCAGCTGGGTGACTTTTCCCATTATGAACGCCAGCATCATTTTTCAGATTCTTATTGAGTCACTCATCAATTTCTGCCTCACATCAAAGGTATGTGTGCATGTGACTCATTGCACCTTAAAAGCTACATCCAGTGGCTTAACTAACATTCTGTCTCAATTCCTGACACATTGCTTGTTACCTAGAAGATGTACAATAACTGAGTAAATAGGGCTCATATTTTAGAGGGAAGGGTGGGCATGAGAAGGTGTCAGAAGGAGATTGAGTCATTGCTTTATCAACTCGAGGTAGAATTCAATAATGGGTCAGGAGGAGTCTCGGGTTTGTCTGATTTGGCTATACAGTATCGATGACTGTTGTCAATGGAGGAGAAATTATGATTAAGAGACTCGGACCTGAATTAGGAGACCAGGGCAAGAGACTAGACAGAAAAGCAGTCTAGAAGTAAACACAATATATTTTTCACCAAATATGAAACATATACCTTTAAATATGGGAAATAATGACTCCTAAAGATCTCAATGGTACAACCTCATCTGTCTCTGATTTTCTGTAAATAGAGGAAAGAACTGAGTCCAGGCCTTGGAGGCTCTTCCAACAGGGCACACGGCACGGATGTGTGGGCCAAGAGTGGGGTTCTATGATGTGGCTGAGGATGAGCTCTAGCCAAGAAACTGATCCCTTCTTTCATTAAGACAAGTTGTTATGCACCATGGCCAGTTTTGTGCTTCCATGTCAAGCCTATTTGTACCAACATTGCCCAGAGGTGAGGCAAGAACATGCCGTGATGTTTGCTCTTAGAAGTCTCTGCTCAGTAGGGTAACCTGATCACCATGCTTTGTCCTCCGCCGTGGGCTATGGAAAGTTCCTTGGGGGACACCGACACCCCACATTGATGAGACATTGTACCAAAGAAGAACTGGTCTAGCTTTCTCATTGTGAAAAGCTCAAACTGCATACGTACTACTTCTCTATTGAAAAGTTTTCTGTACCCCAGCTACTATGCCAAGGCATGGAGACTGAAGAAGTAAGCCGCCCTCAGTAAACCTGCCCTCCCAGAGTGTACAGGGAGTGGGACACACAGTCACAAATTATGCACAAAACTGTAGAATCACAGCTGGGATAGAGGCTGCAGGAGACAGCAACAGAGGTCCCCTGAATGTGGAACGGAAGGAGGCAAGGCCAGCAGCAGAGATGAGAGAGGCTGAGCAAATGGCATAGAAACTTCAAAGCATTGGCTCAGTAGAGAGGAGGGAAGAGCTGCCAAGGCAAAGGGTGGCGGGGCGAGGGTACTGCTAAGGCAAGACCCATGGTTGGAAGACCCATGGCCGGGATTCTTGGAGGGCTGGCGGGGGGGAAGGTATAAATGTCTAGCATTAGGGTCTAAATATGGTGGCTTCACAGCGAAAAGATGATTGTAGCTGCCATTATAAACCCCATCGTGAAGGGATTACTTGTTTTCAAAGTGCACATGTATTGGAGAGAAGTGGAAAGGACAAGTGATCTATCTTTAGGATAGCTCTAAAAAATGTGGAACCAATGTAGTCATCCTCACTGGCAATGTGAAATAAAGCCATGTAATGGGAAGCCAATGTTACCAACAGTTTTTCTCCCTAATAGTAACAGCACGAGCACCATTAGTCCCATTACTCACATTTGTGGAACACTTACCATGGATCAGTCCCTAGTCTAGATAGTCTGTGCTCATAATCCCACTCAGTCCTCAGAACCACCCCTATGAGATGGATAAAATGATCGCCTCTTTAGACACGTAGAAACTGAAACATAGCTGGGTATTGACTGAACTGGGATTCGAGCCCAGGGAGTCTGGCTCCACAGCACAAACTCTTAAGTACTATGGCAGGCAGTGGTGGTCAAACTTGAATGTGTATCAGAATCACCTGGAGGACTTTTGAAACACAGATGGCTGGGCCCCATGCCCAGTCAACAGGTTCTGATTCAATAGATCTGGATGACAGCATCTAAGAGCTTACATTTCTAACAAATTAACAGATGATGCTGATGCTACTGGTCCCAGGCAAATGAGAATCACTGCTCTATGCAACACCATCCTCCAAGTGTTATTTTACTTTACATGTGAGACAAAACTGAAGGTCAGCCTCCTAGGTCATATTCTAATGGAGGAGCTGGTTACAGGAAAGCTCTTATCACAAAGCCTCATGCTAATTTCCAAAAATGTATCCAAATAATTTTTAAAGCCTCGTCAAACAGCTGCACTTAAAATACAAGATATGTAGGGAAAGAGGCACAGGGATCCATGTCTACGGTGCAGCTATAGATAAACACAGCACAGTTAGAAGAGAAGGGAGTTACCATCGTGCACTAAACAGGGGCAGTCCTATTTCAATGCAGAGATGGTACGTCTAGCCATGCAAAGGTAATTGTATTGCTTGTCAATCACATTGGGACTAAATATGCTTTTGCAAGGATATAATGCAAATGCACATCTTATTTTCTTAGAAAAGTAATAGCAGTAGTTAAATATTTGAATGAATGCAAGCAGGGAGTGATTGCACTATAGAAAATTAGTTTACTTTAAAAAATACATGAAATGCCCAAACCATACAATCTGCCTGTGTAATATAATATATACAACCACAAGTATATTCTTATAGAAAAGGCTGTTCACAATTGTTCCACCCTGAGGCCCCTTCCCACTAGAAAATAAACTTTCTAATGTGTTCAAATACCACTGTGTTTTAATGGATATCAGGG